TCTCAAAGGAGTAACACTCACTCTCCTAGGGATGATTTCTCGGGATGAACAGGTAGTCCTTACGACAGTAACATTTCCTCTGTTAGGAACGATTTCCGAAAATCAGCTGTTAGTTCTTACAGGAGTAACCATTAGTCCTCTCAGGAGCAACGCTTAGTCCTCTTGTAGTTAATTCTTCAAGGACTAATTGTTTATCCTCTTGCAGTTAGCCCCAAAAGAACGAATAGTTGTAGCACATCAGTTCATCCTCAAAAGAACTAAGCTCCCTGCCCCTAAATGGGGTAGGGAGGTTAGTCCTTGTGTGACTCACGGGAATTCTCAGAGTTGTCCTTGTGCCGAGTTTTGGCGAGTTCGATATGCATTGTGATTGAAACAGTTGCATTCGCGCGTCCGAGTATTTGTTTCAGTGGTTGTGCACAAACACTGCACCTGCTACAAATTGTGCGAGCTTTGTATAGCACTCGGTGTGATTCAGCTGTAAGGGGACATTCTCGCTACTCGTCTTCTGATTGCCAAACATTTCTCAAATAGTCTGGCTCTTTTTTTTTTCAGGTACACAATGCGGGAATTTCGAAAACAATTCTGTTTGAAGGCCTCTCTTGCTGGGCAGCTTTCATATAGTAGTGAAGAAAAATTGAGTAAGAAATGATCGATAAAAAAATGTTTTAGTTTTTGCGGCATTTCGATACTCCAAGAAGTTGTGGACCAATAAAATATTTTTACAATTACATAACATCAAGTGTGTTTTCTACTCAATATAGGTTGGGTAGTAGTTACCATTTTTCTGGGGGGGAAATAGTGGAATGATTTTTCACTCATCTGGTACCCTACGACGAGTGTTGGTGCCGAAATCGTTTTTATAAGATACTAATTTGAAGCAAAAGCCACAAGCTCCACATCACATCTCTTAGGCTCTTCTCAATAAGGCACATTGCCCAGAGCTGTATACGAGCAATACACCGAGCCAAGGAAGTGGCGGCCGGGCACGGCCTGACCGCCATGCCTATGTGAAAAATATTTTCTTCCTCTTGAATAAAGTTCCTTCTCTCTCTCTCTCAATAAGACCTATAAGAACCAATAAGAACCTGCTTGGGTTCGTGAATTCCGGTTCACGTAAGACGAATGATACGTGGTCAATTTAGCTCCAAAGTAGTTTTACTAAATCTCAAATAACCTACAGTCCGCAGCAGCATATATTAATGCGCTGGGCGGCTGTTGACTTGAGAGTAGCCGGTTTAATTTCGGCCTCGGAAGTCGCTATTTGATTGAGGCGAAATCTTCGAAGCCCATCTGCTGTGCGACGTGAGAGCGCATTAAAAAAAAAAAAAAACACCAGATGGCTTCCGTTCGCTGTGGCGTGCTTCATATTCATATCAATGTTTAGAACGTAAAACCAAACAAATTGTTACTATTACACGTTTCGCCTGAGGTATCGAATTGATCGACCAAGCCTGTACTGAATGTAAAGCAATACATATAGCTTCTCATTCCGCACTTCCTGAATTGGTTTTGCAGAGAAAAGGTTTATGTCCAAAATAAAATTTCGGCCCTGTCATTTTTTCTATGGCGGGCTTTGCTGCAGGGTCCTCTAAATATTTAACTTAGAAATTGGCCTACACTCAGCTTTTATTTCTTATTACTTTGTTTGATTTTATCCTGCAGAAAGGCAATGTTATAGCTTGATAATATAACATCTTGAGTTCTTATGCATGCCCCAAAGCCACGATAGGGGATACGTCGCACTGAAGGGCTCTGGAGATTTTGACTATCCGGTGTGTTTGAACACGCATTGGCATCACTTACGGCACGGGCCTCTATCATTTTACCTTCATCGAAGTGCGACCACCGCAGTGGGAATCGAACCGGAGGCCTTCGAATCAGCGGGCGGCGCACCGCAGCCGGTATACACAACCGCGGCGGACCGCTGTAGTTGATGTGTTTTATACTTGTCCATTCACGGCAGCTCCTTTCTGAAGAGAGAAGTAGTTGGTGCGTTAACCCCATTGAACGTTCTAATTTTTGCTAACCAGACATATTATTAATTTATAAATTAATAAACGCATATATTGCCGTTCACACATTGCCATTGATTTATTCTGTTGCGGCTAAAAGCAAAAGCGAAGTCACTAAACCACTTAACTGGACGAACATATGTCAGTTCCCCCCTGTTCTAAAACTATACGAAAGAAGGTAAAAGTGATGTCGTACAGGGGCCGCACAGAATTGTTATGAGCAAGAAAAATAATGAAAGAAACAACCATCGCGGTGTGTTCACTGCTGATTATAGATGCCGCTATATTCTGCCGCGGCATGCGATCTTCGAAGGGTCATCTTTCTTGATAAATGTGTCTAAGGCTATGTGCCGAGCAATTTTTATCAATTTTGCTTTCACTGCAAAGTCTCGTAATTTCTTTACCCACCCATAGACGTGAACCATTTTTCTAATCCTTTTTTTTTCTTTCTCTCACAGCTTCTTAAGCGCCCCGACGAAGGTATACGAATGCAGCGGAGCATAAAAGACAACACGTCGCAACGTTCCTGGTTATCTCGTGTCATCTCTGCTCCTACTTTTGACAGGCCGTGCAAACTGAAGAGGAGGCGCAATAAGAGCAGTATACACTGCAGCCAAACAGGCGACCGGAGATACAGCGCCACAGCGAAACCTGTTCACCATCGCACCATGCTTGATTCAACGCTCACGTTTTTACAGATGACCTGTGTAGCTATACGGGACATAATGCGTGCCGTACAATCCCAAACGAGCCTCGGTGAACGAAAAAATGAGGGAACGCCATGAGAGGGCTTTGTGTTTTTTTTTAAATACGTCAAAACATAAGTCTGTTTTTATTTCTTGTAGAAAGTGGGCTCGAAATCCCCTCGACATGAAAAAGTGCCCCTTTTTATTACTTCTAAAGGAAAATATAACTCTATAATGATCATTAATTTATCCAGGCGTTGAAGTTTTTTTTAAGAACGCGGTTAGAAAAAGACATTTGAAGATACGTGGCAACTCGCTCGCGACGTAGAGGTCAGCGATGTTTTTACTGGGGAAGCGTTGCTTTCAAAAATGGCCCCTCTAAAATTTAGCTAGGCACAGGTGAGAGAACATCGCCCTACTAGTGGTAAACTGATTAGAACATATAATGCCTTGGGCTTAATCTCGGTGATTGAACTTCATTTTAAACATAAATGTTGAAATGTAAGCTATAGAGATGTGTGAAAAGGAGGTCCCCAAGAAAGAGTTTGTAACTGTTCATTGTTTTATACGCGCTACCTCGCACTTCACGATGGTCTCTGGGAAGTTAAAATGTATTTCATAGTAATATTCTGGGAAATCAAAATGCTGCTGCATCTTTATTTTTCATTTTAAATCCGGTCCTATAATTTATTGTTACTGTAGACACATTAATTTAAAACTTAGCCGGCTTTAACCACACCACTATAAACCTAGCCGTTGGCGTGACCACCCCACCACGGTAGTCTATAGCGGTTATGACACTTCACTGCTAACCCCAATGTCGTGGGATCAAAACCCGGCTGCTTTTTCGATGAAGGTGAAAAAGTTTTATGGACCGTGTATTTTGAGTTAGGTAAACGTTAAAGAACCCCAGCTGGTCAAAATTTCCGGAGCCCTCCACTACAGCGTTTCTCCTAATCATATCCTGGCTTTGGAACGCTAATTGCCATATATTATTATGGCGTGACGAGCCGAGGAAGCGAAGCAAGTAGACCAACATGGCATCTTTTGTCGCCATATTGCGGGCCTCGTAAGTAGGCTTTGGCACGCAAAATACTTCGATTTATTCGTTCTAATTTTCATTATGTTTGTAACGATGCCAACAGACAGAAACGAATAGTACCCAAAGTGCCCTTCGTCGCTTTTTATTTTCTTCTTTTCGTTCACGATGTGCTATAATTCGTAACATTCCTCATCAGCGAGCATGCAAGCGACACCTATTTTCGAAAGCTTCGAGCCTTATCACGAAGTATGCAGTGGCATGCACAATGTAATCTTAAGTGTTTTCGCCATATCGGCATGTTCAGCGAAAGGAAGGAACCGTCATTCCATGCTGACGAAGCTCACTTTGTACTTTATGACAAACGAAGTGGAATGCGTTTCGGTGCTTGTTACAGCAGTTATTTGGAAGTGGCGTGTGAAGGAGAACTTTCAGAAGAAATCAGCTTCAAGTTGTGTGTAGCAAATTTTTCTAGAAGTATTGGGCTGCGTGCCTCAGGGCCCACATCCATACGTTGTGGCTCCCGTCAGAAGGCTATCTGCCACCAATTGTTTTAGGACTGTAATTCTAGCTCTTTAGCGACGCGCACAAGAAAGACGACAAAGACGGTTGTCTTCCTTTTCAAGGTAGCGCTGCGGTCGCATTAACATCGACTAGTCCAACAGTAGGTGCTTCTGCGTTTAGTATGTGTTCAGTAAGAAGTGAACAAACAGACGAACAAGTTTATGTGAAAAGTAAAGAAATTTGATATGGTCATACTCGCTAACAACCATAACTATATCCCCCACTCTCCATATAGATTCCACTAGCATGAATAAAAGACCGCACAGGGATTTCTGGCAAGAAATTTTCACTCGTTAAACAGGGACGAAGGACACTTTGCAGGGCTTGCGCTGCCACCGGCATCAAATGAAGTCGTTGCTAACTGCGCGACAGCCGTGTCCTTGTCGACGCTTCTCATGAATTTTCCGTTAGTCCAGCCGACTTCTCGACGCAGCAGCTGTGGCGGGTGTGAAACGTTACGTAAGGCTTTCTTTTTATTCAGCAGGTTCATTCGAATCCGGTATGCGGATTTTTCTAGTTCGTCCCGTCTGTCATGGTCACCGCAGCCGGACAGCGTGGGCGGCCGGTGAACGCGTGCACGTCGACGATGCGGGCGACACGCGCCTCTCGTTCGGCCGCCGCTCTATCTGTGGCGCCGCCGCTATCGTGGATGAACGGCTTGCATGGGCAGCAACGCCTTGCAGCCATCGGTCAGCCGTCGCGTGCGTGCCAGAAGGGGCAGGTGTGCCCGTGCAGGAACCCCAAGAGTTGTGGTCTAGCGCCCGTTCGCCCGCGTGTCTGGGCGCCAGCAGCGGAAGCCGGCAAACGAGCAGCGCCGGTTGGGATGGGTGCCGCCCCACTCCTTCTTTCCTTTCCCTCACTCGCTGCTAGCTAGTTGGGCCACGCGCTTTCTTGCTGAAGACCGCCCGCGGCGGGCTTGAGAAAGCGCGACGCGGCTGCTAGGAGGCACTGTGTTTTTTTCTGTCCGAGGCCCCGCACGCTGCCAGCACCGCACTGCTCCCGAGATGCGTCCACCGCGTGTCTACTAGTCGGACTCGTGCTGCCGTCGTGGTCGCCGCCGTCGTCTAGCGCTCCGCATGGCCCCCCGGCTCTGGCTCTGGCTGCACGGTGAGCTACCAACCTTCGATGGGCTTTACCCTGGCGTCCGCTGCCGCGAATCACGAGCATGCATTCACTTTTGACGAGGAATGAACGACGTGGTCATCGCAGGGCCGTGAGTGGTGGCGTCTGGAACATATACGCTCATTTAAAAAAATTTCTGTACGAGCTCACTTTTTTTTTCGGCTAATTGTATAAAGGCAGTGATACCATAGATCCTGAAAACATTTTATATTTTGCAATAAAAGATTGTGTTAGGGCACCTTTATTTTTTGTATTTACAATTTCCAGCCAACGCACTCTAGCCACTTGGAGAAATGAATCGAAATAAACGGGACAACGAAAGTCGAGACACGACGAGGCGCTTCCACATTTTTCACATGTTAGCCTGGCCACGGGGGTGTGTCTCGTGCCTGGATCTGTTGTTCGTTGTTTAGTGATGCTAAAAAAGCGCCTCGTCCTGTCTGTCTCCTCGTTTCGTTTATATATCCCATTTATAGCGCTCAATTTAACCAAGCATGCATCACTGATCGGCCCAGACATTTACTCGTCTGGAACACTCTGGCATCGGTCTAACTATCGTGTGGCGTCAAATGCCGGTGTGGCTATGCTATTGCTACACACTTCAACAATACAGCACCGGACATTGTAGCCGCTGTACGTAAAAAAAAGTAGCAACCGAAGAACAAACATTGAAAATACTAAGCACAAAGCGCCAATTGACGGCTCTTCAAGGGCGAATGCACGCTGTGCTAGCGCGGTGATGTGCTCGATAGCACGTCTACCGCGTGCAGCCGGCCGGCGCATACGGGTGAAAGTGAATGGGCGGGCGAGGTTCCTTACGTTGCGCATCGCTGTCGGCCGTTTCACTCGGCCGATAGCGAGACGCGGCGCAATGAATCAAGTATTCTGTGTCTCTGTGGCTCCTTTCCAAGAAGTGATAGAAGGGTCTTGCGGTTACTTAGGTGCAAATTGGGCATGAATTTCCTGATGCGTGTGGTTTCAGCAACGGTAAATATACGTCTACCATTGTACCGTGTATGAAACACCATTGAGGCTATTGTGGCCTTGCGGGAATGTTGCTCTGGCGTTTCGCAAATATTTTCGCACAGAGACTTCCCGAAACGTTGGTGACAATTGTGCATTTTTTCGCTCCCACCCTCCTTCAATATTCTTTCTTCTAAATGACTGCAAACATTGAGCTCCATTTTTGGTTATGCGTGTTTTGAAGCCTCTTCATATGCGAATTTCTTCGTTCGCCTAAAATGCAGCTTTGTTCCCCGCTGGTCTGCTGCGTGGCGAAAACCCAAATGGAAATTAACATTGCGGCTTGGAGTGTATGCGATCTAGAACTTATGATTTCTGTGGGTAATTGATAAAAACAATTATTTATTTCGTTTTACTTCTCGAAACGGCGATCATGATTATGGGGCAAGCCGTTGTGGAGGGCTTCGGAAATTTGAACCATCTGGTGTGCTTCAATGCGCACACTGATATTGAACGGGTGTATATAGCGTTTCGCCTCCATAGAAATAAACCCGCGACTTATCTGTCATCAGCAGGGTACCGCGACCGCTGTAGCAGACTGAGCACAGTGGCCTACTGTGCAATTGATGCTTTTTTTTACACAAGCGCGCTTGGAATGGGCAACAAGGACGCATCGATAAGCTAAAGGTAAACCTTTCGATGAATTTAGTTAAACACAGTGCTTTGCGTTATAACACATTCACTTTCAGCCATGTTTAAGGGGACATTAAATCTGATACAAAGAAGAGTAATGAATACTACAGTGAACATAGAATGGGGTGTTATTAACTGCGCACAGATGAGAGTGCAGGATGCATTGAAATAGCCTCACCCAAAACCCTTAGTGAACTGTGGCTAGTCCATTGAGTACAGATTCTTTGCATACGTTCAACTGAGTTGAAGCCATCTCAAAGATCTCCAGGCAGTTGAAATAAGGGCACAACGACAGTGTGGTTTGCGATCATGTCAAAATTTTGTCTCGTAAAAGCTACAATTTAGAAAAAAGGTTGCCACCAGCACACCCTCTTGCAGTAATGAACGACAATGAAACTGTCTTCCTGCGCTGCACTTCGTGCGAACGAACTCTTCAGTGGAGGTATGCAATCCTTCAAGATAAGGAGCGTAGAGCGATATGTTTCAATGAAGTCATTTTTGGCCTATGTTATGCGATAAGGCCCCGTCAACAGCGCGACAGTGACCGTGGTGTTCGATTGCGCACTGCCCCATGTCGGGACGGCAGGCAGATTGGAGTATTGGGGCCGACTATATATAGTCGGCCTCAATACTCCAATCCGCCTACGACATAGTATATATACTATTGTTAATCTTTCCCGCACCACTATACTTAGCCATGAGGAGACATTGAAAAATATGGTTTTGATATGATGTACTATCCGCGTCAAATGAAACCCGAACAGCAGCAAGCCTTGGCTACGCTGTACTGCGCACCATTCAGTTATCACTATTTACAGGCGCGTGCATCCTGTTCAGCAGCTCTGCGCATAAATGCGTTCCTGCCCGTAGTTAAAACTTCACACGGCGCGCACTATACCATCGCGAATGCTTGCCGCTGCTCAGGTTTCATTTGACTTGGATAGTACATCGTATATCATTCAGCTTACGCGTAACGCTGAAGTTCTGGCTAAATATATGTGTAAATGGGCTTGGTTCATCTTTCTTGATAATATGCCAGCGGAGACAACTTATTTTTCCTCTCTAAATCTTCATGACGTCCACTAATTAGAAACAATAAAACCAATGAGAGTGTGATAAAGTAGGCAACTGTCTGTAGAAAGCCTGTATTTTTCTATTTAAGTAGATTGAGATAGAGATGAAAAAAAATTAGCGTAGCTTGGACTGGAGGCGCAGTGCTAAAGAGACATCGGAGCTGATTTGCTCCCTCAAACTAGTGGTGCCGAGCCTAACCGAAGTGCAGAGCTGGGTGGCCTTCTTTGCTCGCTTTAGTTGTCTCTTTATTTCTCATCTCTTGTCTCTTCTTTTACTTCTTCTGTCCCTTTTTATTTCTCGTTCTAGGACTCTTACTATTTCTTTTTCTTTCTTTTCTCTCTCTCTCTATTTCTCGCTTGCTTCCTCTTTCTATCTTTCTATATATGTTATGGTTTATTCTCTGCCCCCCTCCCTTTCATCTTCTCATCCTCACTTCGCTTGCTGTATGACGCTACAAAAGGCTATGCGCTGTTCTTCGGCGTGCTGGATAGCCGAGTGGCTCACTTTCGGATCGTAGGTACGCGGGTTCGAATCCGGCCGCCTCGCGAGGAATCGTTTTTTCGTCGAGACTTTCTCTCTATCTGTCAATTTCTTTCTCCCACGGACAAATCGGCGCACCTGTTGTGGGGAGCGAAGCAGAAGATGAAGAGGAATGACGGGGAGAGCGTCTTCATGATGATTGTTTTCGGTGACGACCGACATTTTACGCCTCAGCAGATTCGCTGTTGAAAACGACTTTCGCCATCGGGCAGGTGCATAGCCAGAAACGTTTTTCGGGGGGGGGGGGGCAGCAATTTTCACTCTATATGCCATGGCGAAAAAAATGTTCAGGAGGGGGGTGGCACGTGCCCGATGTGCTACCCCCTGGCTACGCCCCTGCCATCGAGAGCCCCACCTGGTTAGCTGTCTGCTCGTGAAGTGCACGCACTGCGTGGAGCCATCGAATGTGCTCCGGGCCACCTCGTTAATCGACGAGCAGAGGTGCCACCTCCGAGAACACTGTACTGGCAGTGCAACGCCTGCCACTATAGGGTTCGGCTTGTACGCTGTCGGTTGGGGGGTTTATGGCTTGACTGCACTATTGGCAAATAGCTTTTCCGTCAATTTTTGGAAACTTCCAGCTACCAGAACTCGGATATATGTCCAGGCAATGCACATGAAATAAACGTGGCTATGGCAAATCAATTCTGCAGAAGCCCGCAAGGTGGAGGCTGTTTCATGATAGGACATAAATGTCGCCCATATTTTGTAGCTCGAAACTACGAAAGAAAGCTGTTTTGGGTTCTTAGAAAGCTTCCTAGTTGGAATGAACTGAAAACATCTCTTTAATGTCTTAAGAAACACGACTGGGTCTCTACCCGATTCAATCCCACGTATAAAGACCGGCAAGCTGAGCCTGCCGGCCACCCTACTACTTCGCGAAAAATTCCCGAACCAGCGAGAATTTTTGTACACCTCAAAGCTTTTTGTGTGTGTGTGCGTGAAAATTACGCGCGGGTTTTCTATTCAGCTTCGTGCTACGAGGTGGGCAGTTGGCAATATTTTTCATTGGGACGTTAAACCCCACATATCAATCAAATCAAATCAATCAACATTTTTTTTAGATTTCCCCTCGTAGTGTGTCTCTCCGTTCGTTCCCAGTAGTTCTGAGAATTTAAACATTTGCGCCCGGAGCGCTGTGGTAGCCGATAGAGGTAAGGTGGATTCGCATCAAATCCTGGCGCCCCAGGTTTCAACTTTTATATCAGTAATGCCTTAATTGGTAGCTCGACGCCTCTCTTGTTTATAGATTTGTGGTTCTAGCCACGCTGTTTCAGCCTCCGAGTTCTGAAGGGTGTCGATGCACCACGGCCGGCTTCGCTCGGCGAGTTTCTCTCGAAAATAGATCCTGTAGAAACTGCGAGACCGCCGGGTAGTTACGATGCCTACAGTCTCTTTCACTCCACAAAAACAAACGAATATGCTCGTCTACACTGATATATAATACTATTGCAGAAACCGTGCAGGAGGAGGAGGAATAAACTTTATTATAAGAAACTAGCAGGTTTAGATGGCCGGGCCTAAGCCTCCCATGATGGTACGTCAAGGGCTTGCCTCGACACCCCCTCACGGGTGTACTGGGCCGCCCAGATTTGGTCGTCAAGAGCGGGGCTCCGCAGAGCCCCGCTCATGACGTGTTTTTTTTTTATGTTTCGTAAATGTTGCTTCCATCATATAACCACATTGCAACGTTCAAGTTTTGTGACAGCCGTTGC